CTACTTTTTTTCCCCAATAGTTTCCCGACCGCTGATATCAAACTCACTGGTCCATATTCCCATGGTCTATCTCCATCTTTCATGCAAACTGAAACCACAAGAGCAGTCCTCCAGCACCTTCCTTGTGGCCGCAAATTATTTGAAAATTTGGGCAGGGCCCCTGTAATTTCCTCCCTTGCCTGCTGCAGCAGCCTGGGAAACAACAATTCTGGAACTGGAAATCTGTCCACTTTTAAATCTGCATAAACCTCCAATACAACCTTATTTATATCAATCTGCTCAAATATTTCATAGACCATCTTCATACTTCTTAGTTAATTAAATTGGTTTGCGACTTAGAGTGATGCCAACAATACAGCTTCAACTCGCACTGAGATTACCATGAAGATCCCATCTTCAACTTTGCCCTTTGCCTGAGATGTGATGACCCTCAGACTAAACTCACCACCAACTGTCTCTCTAATGGGTGGACAGTCTTATGGTATTCTGGGATTATGGCAACTTTACCTTGATGTCAACTGCATTACATCTTTGCTAGAATGCTCAAGTTGTAGTTTTAGCCAAAAGCTGTAGGTGTCACCCTTCAATTGAACGAACACACTTACACGGCCGCAATTGTCAGAATTGTACAGTGTTAGCCAACTCAGAGGTTTTGGAAGCATTAGAGGAGCAGGAGAGTCGACGTTTTGGGCCTGGACCCTTCATCAGGACCAGTACAAAATGTTGACTCTCCTGCTTCTGACGCTGCCTGACCTGCTGTGTTCCTCCAGCTCCAGCATCCACAGTTCTTGCTATCACAAAGGAATTGGAACTTCAGCATCTAAATTTGAAAACCAAGGCCAGTTCTGTTGGTTTAGTTTGTAAGTAAGTGCTCATGTTCTGTCATTATTGAGGAGATGGATACATGTTGAGAAAGCCATTTTTAACTGTTCCGAATTTGAATTAGATACAAGATATTCTCAAGATGTATCACACTTGCTGCAGATGACTCTTCCATTGGTTTCTAACCATCTCCTGATTTGTTGAGCTGGTGGATTACTGTACGAGTGATGGAAGTGGCATGGGTTGCACAATCATCCACAGCATACTGGACTTGGATTTTTTGGACTTAGGATTTTAATCTGCTACACTGGTTAATATTTGATCAGTATCTCATTATCTATGTACAAGACATTCAGCCATGTAAAATTCTCCTTGCTTTAACACTTTCTTTGATGAAGCCTCAAAATTTTTCACACTATTTGCTGTGGATGCTGCAGCAAGAGGTATTTGCCAGGCCTCGTCACAAGTTCATGCACTTTCGCAATCAGTTTTTTTCAGGCCAATTGTCACATCAACCTTAGTCTTCATCAATTCTCTTCTGCACTAAGTTCTGTTTGAGATCAATATGATGCCTTGAAGGGTTAAACTTTTGGTACTGTTTTTCAGCAGATAGACGTATTTGACATTCCCATCTCATGTTACCAAAGGTCTCTAGAGGTGGATGTGCAGAGAGGCATCATGCAGCAAGAAAGTCAATTTCAGTAGTTTGTTCTGTCCAAGATTTTTTGACAACTGGTATGAGTTTACAGTGGAACAAGGCTTCAAGAAAAAAAAACACAACCCTGACGTCCATATGGAAGTAACATTAGGTTTAGATTATTGAATTGGAAAATTTTCTGAAGAGCTGAGTCAGCTGCTGTAGACTAGTTTTGTTGCACAAAATGAGTACCATCAACCTTGCATTTATGTTTTATTCCAGATGCTTGAATGGTTTCTCATCACTGGTCTCTTCTCTGGTAAGAAATTTATTGTACCAGGCTATCTCATACAGTTTTAGACTTGTCCTTCAGTGCATCTTTTGTGTAAAATTTAGTTGAATTCATCAGTAAACTTAGTGGTGCATCTATGATCATTGCTCACTACTTGTAACTTGCAAAATGCTCCACCAATTCTTGAATCTTGCTACCCATCTTTGCTGCTTCCAAACTAATGGAGCACACCATTTCCATTAATCCAGTGCGAAAGATTTTTTGCCCAGGCTTGAATAACAGGGCCCTCTACAGGGTGAGCATCAACAGACACGCCAAGCGTTGTTCTTGACGTTTTAGACTTTACTTGCTTGGCCAACTTCAACCATTTCTATCAGTGTTCTTCTCAACTCCTCTTCACTTTTAAGCCAGCTGCAAAGTGTTAATTTGGTGGTCCCCATTCACCTCAGTCCTTGGCTTAACCATCAACATTTGCATACTCCCATTGTTTTTCACGCCTGGTCCTCCATCAAAATACTGAAAATTCATATCTATTTGTTAGACTATTCACAAATGAACAACTGAAATGAGTCCATATAATCAGCAGGACTGCATTAAGAAAGGAAGGTTGGGTAAACTAGGCTGATATTTTCTAGAGTTTCAAAGAATGAGAGGTGATCAAATCGAAACCTACAAAAATATATAAAAGGGATCGATAGGGTAGATGCAGACAAGATGTTTCCCCTGGTTAAAGGAGTCCAGAACCAAGGTGGGGCGGGGTGGATTTAAAAAAACAAAAAAGGGGGATGCCATGTACACAATCAAGATTTGGGAGGTGCCTGTGTTGATCTGGGGGGTGGACAAGGTCAGATGATACCAGGTTATGGTCCAACAGGTTTATTTGAAATCACAGGCTCTCGGAGCATTGCCCCTTCTTCAGGTGAAGAGAGAGAGAAGCACACAGGCACAGAATTTACAGGCAGAGAGATCAAAAGATCTTACTAATGGTGTGAGTGGAGTGTCAACAGGCCGACTAATAGGTCTCTGCAGGTGATCAAGAGTGTCAGACAGTGAATAAAGTGTCAACAACTGAACAAGTGAAGGAATGACCTATATCTGATTAAATGAGGCAGAGAGACAATTATAAAAGACTTAAAAACGCGGCAGTGCTGGAGACAAACCAAACGACTGGAATAACATGATAGGTATATGAGTCACATACCGAGGGTCTAACCGAAGTAATAAATAATCCAAAACTGTACAAACTAAATTATGTTTGATAAATTGTTATGATCTCTCTAAAAGGTGGGTAGTGTCAAAACAGAATAGTAAAGAAGATTTTACAGATACAGAACGCTGTGGTGGGATCACATGTAGCACAGCATGAACCCAAGATCACAGCATCTTCCAAGGCAACCTTCGAAATACATAACGCAGAATTACCGAGCAGAAACTGATAGCCAAGTTCTGTACCCACAAAGACGGCCTCTTAATAGCAACTTTCAAACTCTCAACCTTTACCACCTTGGAGGAGCAAGGACAGCTGATGCACAGGAACACCACTGCTTGGACATTTCTCTCAAAGTCTCACATCATCCTGTCTTGAAGCTATATCACTGTTTTATCACTGCTACTTGGTCAAAATCATGGAACTCCTTTCCTAACAGCACACCTTAAGGACTGCAGTGGTTCAAGAAGCTCACCACCATCTTTTCAAAGGTGATTATGAATGAGAAGTAAATGCTGGTCTAACATGAAACCGATGAATAAATAATTTTTTGGAAAGGATTCTAACCCTGAGAGTTCACGCAGATCTAGGCTTTTTAAAACAAACAAACAAAAAAAAAAGAAAAGAAAAGAAAAAACCCAACTAGTTGTCAGGTTCTCTTCGCTGCTCTTTCAAAGTTACTAAATTTAATTTTCCCAGTTATTATTTTCTACTCAATCTACTTACGTTGAATAAGGAGTTATTCATTCAGTTAGCTTTACTAGTATGAAACAGTCACAGAAGTGATCACGAACAATTTCTGTATTCTCAATGCATTATATTCACACAAACCATAACAATAAGCAATATACAGTATTGAGTTCCGATATACTTTTCTTTCTTCTGCTACTGAATACAAATCAGATTGCTTCTTACAGTTTGCCATTTGTTTGGATTATGCAGATTGAGGAAATGACTCAACTGTGAACTGAATTGTATACCAGGAAATAACCTCAAGCCAGCCACATTAAATTGGGTGTGCCTAGTATTTTATTTTACTGGTGCTGCTGGTTTGTTAGACTGCTAACGATACTCAAGTGAGGCACTTAGTTCCCAAATGAGAAAAAAACTACACAAGATTATTAAAAAAAAGGCTGTACATCACACAAAATATGCAGAACTATATATTATAAAAGCACCAAAATAATGCTTTCAAAGTGTTCTTTTTATGTAGAAATTGGACCCTAACTTACCACAGTTAGAGAGGTCCTTGCGAAACACACTCAGGAAAGGACATGGTGCCTGCACAGCCATCCTTCATTCTGGGGCCTCAATATAAACCCCTCATGGACTCGTGGAGAGACACAAACAATGCACATCACCAAGGAAAGTTTCCTCTGCAGAGGAAGTGGCAGACTAATCATCTTAAACTCAGCAAATATGAGGAGACTATTGCTTGGCTTCAGGGATTTGCCTTTGCTAAATAAAATAACTACAAAGAACAAGCAATGCACCCAATGTTGCTCACCTAACCTTCTCATTAGTTTGAATTCCTCATGCAAACAGATTACACCAAAAAGTAATACAATAGCAGAATATAGCTTAAATTCCAACACAGGTTGGAAACAGAAGAAAAAAAAATGCCTTATTGAGGCAAGACAAAATGGCAACTGCAGCTCCTACTCCTTAAATTCTCATTTCTGCAACACCTGCATTAAAAAAAAGGAATTAACTACAACTAGCCATAGACAATAATGCTGGCTCAGCCAGCGATGCCCACATCCCATAAAATGAATAGAAAAATTATTGCTTTGACATCTACACTGCTCAGCAAGTGCACTGTAATGCTCAGAACGCTGGTGTCGATTCAATTGCCAAAAGGCCTCTTCCCATGCTGTACTGATTAGCTATTTAACAAATGTTAAATGCACTCATCACCCCAAAAGATGAGGTTGATGCAACAGTCCGTAGAAATAAAGTAAAGTATAAAAAGTGACTAGTGAACACGTTAGTTTTATCATATTCCAAAGTGTTTTCTTGAAAAGAAAAAAAAAAATACCTACAGGCAAGCTCTTCCTCATCCTGATCAGGTTCCTTTTTGTTTCTAAACGTAAAGCTATCCACTTGTAGCATCTGTGCAATGGCAGCATGGATCAAAGTGGCAGCAAGGACAGGTGGCAGATTTCTACAAGAATAATAAAGCAATACAAGGCAATTATTTTAACATTTTTAAACAATCCGGTACATCCTGATTTACAAATCAGAAGGTAGAGTGGCAATGATGTGGCAAGAAGGAACAAATGAACACAAATCTAGGCTTACAGATCCTTTTTGACCGATAACTTGAGACAATGCCAGAAGCTTTCTTGAGCCAACACTTCATTAAATCCCCTCCAAATTCAGACTCTATTCTGGTATCTGTATTGCTAAATCCCTATGCTTCAGCAACATCAGCAAGTACACTGTCAACTTCCAACCATATTCAGCACCCATAAGGTCATCTTCTAAAACATGCTAGCTTTTCTACCTCACCATTGTTATAATTCTAAAGCTGTAGCTACACTGATTGGCCAACAAATTCTTGATGAATTAAGGTTCAATCCTGATCAAACTTACATCATTCTGTTTATCTCTTACCAACATCAATGTTACTCTGGCACATTCAATTGGCTTCTCTTGATATTTTATAAAGGGTAAACCAAATGATAGACAAGCATGTCATTTTTGATAAGTAAAGCCATGAATCCCTTTCAGGTGGTGGCATAGTGGTAATGTCACAGAACCAGTTATCCAGAAGCCCAATCTAATGTTTTGGGGGATACGGTTCAAAACCCATAGTACATGGTGAAATTTGAATTTAATAAAAAAAAAGGTCTGAAGTTAAAAGCTAGCCTAATGCTGATCATGTAACCACTGTTGGACATAAAAACACATTGGATTCACATATCAATTATGGAAGGAAATCTGCCACCCTTACTTGGTTTGGATTACATATGACTCCAAATCCACAGCAATATAGTTAATATTAATTGCCGTCTGAGCAATTGCATGTTTCATGTTCTCCACCCCACCTGCTTTGCTACAAAAATCCACAGTCACACCTTCACTCAATTTTGGAAATTTTCTATCAATTGGAATAATTTATCCAAAAACATTCAGCCACTTTAGAACTCTAAAGAGAGCAAAACTTGCTTACACAGTGGTTTTCACAACGACATGGCATCCCAAAGCCCTTTACAACCAAAGGCAGTTTCTTTTTATTAGAAAAGTGCACTGTATTGTAACTCATTATTATAGGAAACAAGATAGCTAAATTGTGTACAGCCAGCTCCCACAAACAACAGTGTGATAATGTCTTGTGTGGGGCTAACCGAGGCCTGGAAACAGCACAATTCTTCAGCTGTCTTCTAAATAGAATCAAAGATTTTTTTAATGTTCACTTGAGACAGCAGATAGGAACTCTGTTTAATGTTTCATCTCAAAAGACAGAAATTCTGACGCTGTAGTACATTTTAAAGTCCTGCAATGGAGTGTCAGCCTAAATTGTCATATTCAAGTCCTGGAGTGGGACTTGAACATTCCGATTCAGAGGGGAGAATGCTCTCAACAGAATCCCAAGCAACAATCTATGCAGCTTAAGTGCTCAATTTCACTGGCTTCCACTACAGTACCAATTTAACTTCAAGAATCTCACCTTAAAAATTCCTCCAAATCTTCTGATTAGAGATAACTGCTCAACTTCCAGGTTATGGCAATTGAAGGGCTGTTCAGCCATCACTTGCATCTTGGGAGTCTTCCAAAACTACTGTGCATTCCCACTTCCTCCCTCTTTTGAAATGTCTATCATTCTGATTGAAATGTATGCTTTGTTTTCTGTCCCAAGTAATTTACTTCCTGTTTTAGATGCAACTCAAAACACTTCATTTTCTTTTGAGGGATGCCATTTAAAATCATACATCATGACATCTTCAGTTTCCCTTTTATCCCTACATTATATTATACTCGTGAATACCCCTTGACAATTTCATGGCGTGTGTATGTTGCTGACAAGGCCAACATGTGCCCTTGAAGTGGCTTGCTAGACCATTTACAGGCAGCAGTTAAGAGTCAACAACATTGTTGTGGGTGCACAGTCACATCTAGATCAGGTTCAACAAGGACAGCAGATTTATTCCCCAAAATGGGGAATTGGGAACCCAATGGGGTTTTTTTTTTTTTTTTCAAAAAACAAAAATGATGATAACTTCATCATTAGCATTTGAGATGAGCTTTCAGTTCAAGACTTTTTTTTTTTTAAAAAAAGGAATTTAAAAATCCATCAGCTGGATTTGAACTCATGCACCAAAGCATTAATTCTTGATGTCTGGATTACTAGTGCAGTGACATTATCACTCTGCCACCCCCTCCCCAAATGTTTGAATATTTGTACAACTCCTTCCTCTACCTCAACACATTCCAAAATAATTCACAGCCCTTTAAGTATCTTTGAAATAGTCACTATAACATAGTAAATGCAGCAAAAACCGCACTGCAAGGACCACAAACAACGAAGACAATGTCCGTTTCTTGTGATGCTGGCTGAAATGATAAATGTTGGCGAGGAACTGGGAGAACTCCTGCAATTCTTTTACATTAACCTGAAAGAGCAGGCAGAACCACAGTTTTAACATTTCATTTACAAAATGAAACCTCCAACTACACAGCATTACTTCAGTTCTGCATTGAACTTCATGGACTATTACAGCATGGCATTAATATTGATTTATTACATCAATCCCATTATCACACTACTCACACAGATGATTATGCATCAGTTATATCCTAGACTTCAGATAAAGGTTTTTTTTTAAAATGTAAAAAATATGCTTTATTCATAAGTCATCTAAAAGAACAAGTACACAGGTCCATACAGAAAATTGTTTGCAGAAAATACATTGAACTTTGACATTCCTTGTTACAGCTTCAATTCAGTTGCAACAAATGGGCAATTTCTAATCATAAAAGGAAACTATTTACATTCCCATTAAGGTATCTCAAAACTTAAATTCCCATTATATTTTGGGAGACCTCAGACTGCAGTCTTTCTTCATTGCACCTGGATAGCTGCCCAGGCTTTAGTGCATCCCTCAGCACAGTCCTGGACCTGGCAATATGCCAGCCTACAACATTGGTGGAGGTCAATGCTTTGCACGGTAAGACCAACAAGTTTCCGGCAGACAAAACAGAAAATGCCAGAGGAAAAACTTAGCAATTCTGGCCACATCTGTGGAGGAATGTTTCAAGTCCTCCTCTTCATGACAAGTCTTCAGAAGGTGGTGACCTGGATGAAAAATAGGTGTCAATGATAGGTACGAATAATTGAAAATAGTTATGGAGAGGAAATCCATGCAAAAAACAAAAAAAAGCAAAGCACAGGAGGGGTGGTTAGTTAATTCTGAATTGTAAATTGTTTAAGCGGAAAAATGAAATGAAAAAGGATCGTCCAGCTTGCAGAGGGCTTTGCTGGAATGCTGCAGCATGCCCGAGATGGAAATAATATATTTAAATGGCACATAACTGGTAGGTTAGGGTCATTCCTCAGAAGTAGAGTCATTGGACTGAATGCTAACTTTGTTGCTCTCTCCAGAGATTGCCAGACCTGCTGAGTTTCTTCACCATTTTGTTTTTATTTCAGATCTCCAACATGTGTAGTGTGTGTTTTTTTAAACACTCCAAATAGTTATTCCTCATTGAGGATACAGATTGGAAACTGCTGCACTTTCCACCACCCTGGCATCAGCCAATATATTTAAGATGAAATCTGGAACCTGCTGCTGCATATGTCTCTTTATTTCATGTTGTACTTACAGACTGGGTGATCAGTGAAGCATTTACCTCCCAGTGATACACTAAGGAGACAAACTGGAGTCATAGTCCTACAGCATGGAAACAGACCCTTTGGGCCAACTGATTCATGCTGACCAGGTTTCCCAAACTGAACTAGTCTCATCTGCCTGATTTTGGCCCACATCCCTCTTATGCCTTCTTTTTAATGTACTTGTGCAAAGGTCTTTTAAAATGTTGTAATTGTACCTACATCTCCCCACTTCCTTTGGCAGTTCATTCTATACATGCACCTCGGTCTGTGAGAAAAAGTTGTCCCTCAGGTCCCTTTTAAATTTTTACCCTCTCACTTTAAACCTATGCCCTCTAGTTTTGAACTTCCCTACCCTAGGAAAAAGAGCTTTGCAATTCACCTTATTAAAATCCTGAGGGGCATGGATAAGTGTCTATAAAATTCCCCCTCAACCTCCTATGCTCCAATGAAAAAAGTCCCAGCCTATCCAGCAACTTAAACCCTCCAGTCTCGGTAACATCCTAGTTAACATTTTTTTGCACCTTTTCCAATTTAATTATTGCCCTTCCTATCAGAACTGTATGCAGCCTCACCAATATTCTGTACAACAGCAACAGAAACAGCAACATGACATTCACAACTCCCTTACTCAATGTTCTGATCAATGAAGGCAAGCATAGCAAATACCTTTTTTACTTAGTTCCTTTACAACTAGGTATATCTGTTCAACACTCCTCAGGACCCTACCATTAAGTCCTGCCTTGGTTTATTTAACATCACTCCCTATAAAAATCATCTTGTTACACACACTAATTACTGAACCTCTTGTTTAAACAGCTTTTGTGAGCAGCTTGAGAAAGGAGGAATAATTGTCGTTGATCCTTGTTCTGTGACATCTGGTCCAAGGGCTTGAATCTCAAGAGACAATGACTGTTTATGGGCACAGGATCCTTCAGGAAAAAGACACATTTCCTTTAAAAGACACAGCAGGAAGGCAACAGGAAATCTCGTGTTCCTTTCAATAAGGATAGAGCTCATTTAGAATGAAAATTTAATGCTTTTATAGGCAACTGAAGGGGAGAGGCAAGAATAGGAAGCTTGGGGAAACAAGAAGTCCTGTCTCAAGACAGATTACGACTATGATAATCATTCATTCATCTTTGATCATCTCAGTTCTACAAACCTGCTTGACATCCAGTTTAACATTGTCCACTTCAAACCGCAGGTAGCAAATTTAGATCTGAAACACTATACACTTTTTAAGAGTTTTTTTTGATGCTGACTGTGATAGATGGGGGACTTGTCAGGTGAACTCAGCACATATACACCTATTCCAGGAGACGTCACAC